AATAATTCATTAGGTATTATAAGCCGTCAATTGAAAAACTCGAATTTTGTCGCGCTGCCCAAAAACAATAATTTTTCCAGAGGCTTTCCAGTAAGTTGATTTCTTGATGAGTGTGGTCCTAGCTTTTGAAAATAATCTCTCGCATGGTATGGAAGTCGCAACTGTGTGTAGATACATGCGCGCGCATATTTGTATAACATTGGATCGGTTGATTTTAAATCCTCCAATTCCTCCAACGGATTGGATTTTAAAGAGCAGACGGGGTTTGATAAATAAAGCTACAATTCATCTTCTTTTGTAGAGTGTTTTCGTTTTTGGCCAATCGCAAGCTTTTTATGTTGGTACCAAAAGTCAAAATCTTCTTTAACAACGTTTTCTTCGGAGCTGGTATTAGCGTCTACTTGAATAAGGCTTTTTAGTTTAAAAATTGCCCGACTGCAAGCGTTCGCATCTTGAAATTATGATTTTTGAAGCGATGATCGAGGATAGTTCCTAAAGCTGCATAGGTGTTGTATTCAATGAGACCAAATCTTTTACTACACTCCGCCAGGAGTTTCGTTTGAAGTTGGGTGACACAATCAAGAGCTGTAGAAAATTTACTCACTCGAGATGTTAGGCAGTTAACCATAGGTATGATCTTGGAAAGTGTGACATAATTCTGTAATGAAGATTCTTTGTTTACGAACTCGAAAGGCTTGAGTAGCTGAACTATTTGATTCAGTATTTCTATTTAATTTTTTGCTATCATTTCAGGACTGTCTGTAGCATCAAGTATAAGTTGAGACGAAATTTTGGACATATCAAAAAATCTTTCCAGCATGTAAAAGAGTGAATTCCAGCGCGTTCTAATGTCTCTTGCTCGATCCAATTTGCAGATTCATTCGATACGAAAGAAATAGAACGCGCACCCTTTTTCGTAGAATTGTCAAAACCGGCGTTACCCCGACGTTGGCGCCTTCTTGCGGTTTTCATTGGCAACTAAACTGCCAAAATTTTTTAACTATTTACAAAGAAATTAGATTAAAAAATAAAAGTCCGGGAATAAAATTTTCAATGAATTGGGGTTTCGATACAAGTACTTTTTTCCGATACCTACTCAGTACTCGGTTCAAAAGTATCGATTACAAAATTACATTGTTTCGGACGAAAACCATCGAATATGTACTTGTATTTACTAGTATCGTTTCATCCCTAGTCTTCACGTGACGCCACAGCCGACATTTGTAAGAGAAGCAATTAATTGCGTTTTATTTTAGGCTTTGGCAATTCAAAGGCAGATGTCGCTGAATGCTTAACTTCTTCGAAAATGTCGAACTGGTAGGCACATACTAGTTTATGAACTAGTATTTTTTCTAACTGGTTTGGGTTTTCACTGCAGGGATGCTACCAGTTTGCGTTTCAGCCCATCTAGTTCACGTTGTATCATTTTTCAATGTTAGCGACTGGTATTTTTAACATGGCGGTGTCATAGGAGATGTCAATTGTCAGCCTCTGCATCAGCACGCCACCAGTAGAAATACTAGTAGCATCGTAACAGTTGACGGGATAGACTGCCTATTCATCCCCCGTAAAAAGCAAAAGTGTGCCATTTTGCTCGCGGCGCTGCAACAGTGGCAATGATCGACAGGGTATAGCTTTGGAACACCAAATCAAGAGATCCGAGTTCGAATATCAGTGAGCGAATGTTTTTTTATATTTTTTTTTAATTTTTTTTATTTATATCTCTTATTGTAATTTTTAAATTTTTTGTTTTAAAAAGAACTAAAAATTATTTCTTTTCATTTTTTTATGGTATTTGAGTACTTAGGTTTTATCCAAATGGAACTAAATTTATGCACAATTTTTATTTTATATTAAAATTTAAATAATTATTTAAATTAATTTACTTACTCAACTTTAACAACCTCCACGCGCACTCTAACTTGAGACCTCAGAACCAGAATCGATAGTCTTCACTCGACGCCACAGCCAACATTTCTGATGAAAGCAAGTAACCGCATTTTAGGTTGGGTTGTGGCTATTCAAAGACCGATGTCGCTGATCGCATAAATTGTTCGAAATCACCGAAATCGTAGGTCGTCGCTTTAGCGCATACCATTTAATGAACTAGTATTTATACTGGCTGGATTGGCATTTCGCTGCGGAGAACTGGTACAATTATAGTCCATGACGAACTGGTATGACTTCCCCATTTAATACCAGTTTTCGAACTAGAATTTCTACCAACTAGTTTACTCTTTTCTATGAGGAACTGGTATAATTATGGTTCATAACGAACTGTTATGACTTTTATCCTTAAATAATACTTCATGAAGTGAAATTTGTGCATACTGGTTCAGCTTTTCACTGCAAGGATGTGATTGATAAAGCAGACGTTAAACATCGTTACCGACGTTACTAACTCTATGCATATAACATTGGGTCGATAACGTCTGTAACGATGTTCAACTGGAGATTAGTGTTAACCAGAGATGGTGAAAACGGCTCTTATTCAACAAAAATATTCAAAAATTTTTTTCAGTAATTTTTTTTCCTAATGAATTCTCAAAAGAAATCGTACCCAAATAAACATTGGGCTTGATTAACAATTCGAAAATGATTGGAAAACGAATATTTTTTTCGACTCTCACCTTCGATAACGAATGTGGCATAGGTTAGTATTCGATTCGAGAACTAGAATATTCTCCAGCAAAACGGAACCTTCGTTATCCAATGTACTTTTCCTTCGTTATGAATCCAAAATCCAGTCCATTATCGAACTGAAATTTTATTGAGAGAGAGAGATTGTCTTATATTTCCCTTCGAGAATGAGCTGGATTTCACTTTCTCTCTTGTTACCATAGTTTCCAATTTTTTCGAACCCATCTCGAGTGCAATTCCAATACACTATGAACATTGGAAACCAAGGTTGGTTATGAGTTCGGTCTCAGTTCGATATGCATATTGGATATCGAAGGCCATTTTCGAAAGTTCGCCACAATGTTTATTGGGTAGTTTATGAATTTTTGAAGTTACTCGGTCAAATTCAAATGTAGATTAATTACCTAAGGAAAATTAAATTCTCTTATCTTCATCTACATCAGTGATACTCAAAACAGCGCCCGCGTGCTCTCTGTAGATTTTATATACATACGTATGTGGCCGCGCACCACGATGCACGGTAAGAAAGGTGGCGCCTTCGCGGACCGCTAATCCTCTATTTGTCGATTTGACAGCATCTACCCCTACAGGAAATGTGTCTAACTATAAGCTCACTTTACGTTGATTAGGAAGGAGCTAAAAGTCAATTATTATCTGTATATTTTCTTTGACGAAAGCTAACTATATTTCTATGGCGATGGCCGCGAAATAGTCAAGGGTGGTTACCTCTGCATTAGATGTAGTCAAGGGTGGCTACCTCTGCATTTGATGTAACTAACTTGTAACTAACTACTTTTGGACATAAAATATCAATAGAAAAAATAAAATATTTTATTTTGATTTTTTTTATTTTATTTACTTTATTTATTTTATTACATTTCATATTTGTTTACATATTCTCCTGTAGGTGGTCCCATATTCGAACTCCGTCAGACATAACTTCAAAATGATAATATGAAATTTCGATCTCCCTTTTATTTGTCCTTAATTCGAAAAAGTATTTGCGAAGTGCAGAATATTTAAATAGAAACGCGTTTAAAGAAAACAATCTCGAGCTTTACTGCTGCATTACTTGTCCACTTGTTTCAAGTTAGCTTTTTGTAGCTAACTACAAATTATATATTTTATAGAAATCCCGCAAAAAGCTAACTACAAGTAGGTTATTTTTTATCAATTGATAATTTTTTTTTCTGCAGGGACGCTTTCGCTGACGTCACAATAGTAATTGTCGCACGAGTGATGCAAATTAAATTTTCATATTGTACCTACGTGTTTGCTGAAAAGTTATACTTAAAACTGGACAAAAAGTAAATATGTATTTTTATGTGCATACGTGCATTTTTGATAGTTGGTGGACTACATCTTCCTTCTGTACCATATCTACTTTTGGACATGAAACAATATTTTCTACTAACAATGGCCTTGAAAGGAATTTCTAGTTTTACATCACTATTTCGAACAACATGTTGGCTTCTTCCTCTTCTTCAAAATTATTCTTCACTCTCTCATTCTCTCACTATTATGACGTCACACCCGGTTGCTCTCAGCTCGATTGTTATAATATAATTAAATGCGCTTTAAAACTGCATATCCGAAATTTTTCTAAAAATTTTATTAACCTATTCACTGCAGGTCATTAGAATGGCACACTCCTTTGTCTCAAGAATAACGCAAAATTCATATAAAATGCTGCCCAAGAAATGGAAAAGGAGTTTTCTTTATAAGCTTTAGTTTGTGAAAGGAAAACAATAAATACTCACAGTGTGCCTGAATCAACCGTAAATAAAGGTTGTTGCATATGGGTTTTTGAACACATGGATGGAGTCGTGAATCCCCCTAATATGCTTTCCATGCACCTCTGTAAAAAATAATGCTATTGGTTCCACTGCAATTAAAATGTCACTTAAGAAAACGTGAGGCAAAATCTAAGCTCAATAGATCGCTCATTGTCTACAAGTTCTCTTGATTTCTGGGTAAATAATGGAATACATACGAAATGCATTCAACAGATTTTCACCTGACAGTTTGCAATTTATGCGAAGTTTTGCGAAGTATGCATAATCAGACCATCAAGCTGCCTTCACAAGGGTCGATTTCTGTCGACTGAAACATCGACTAGCCAAAGCATTTACATTTTACGGTTGAGTTGTCATTTCCGCTGGTCGCTTTTGGTTGAACGACAAAAATCTACCAGAAAATCGACCCGTGTGAAGGCAGTTTAACCCAGGAAGCAATTGACTAACTCAGATGCTCTTGCTATTGTCAAATAAACTAATTTTTCTTTATTAATAAGTTCTCTCTCAATAGTCGTATTTATACATCCTTTTTTTTAATATCCTTAAATTGCTTTCATCCTCCAGATACATTCTGTCCTTGGCGATTGCTGACCTGCTGGTCATCCTCACCACAGTGCCACTAACCTCAACAGTCTACACCGTAGATTCGTGGCCTTGGGGCAGCTTCCTATGCACGTTATCTGAATTTTTTAAAGATGTATCGATTGGCGTTTCCGTTTTTACACTTACAGCACTCTCAGGTGATCGGTACTTTGCCATAGTGGACCCACTAAGGAAATTCCATGCGCACGGTGAGTAGAAACACTTTAAATTGCGTTTCCATTATCTCACCCTTAGAATCCGAAAATCTGTATGCATCGAGTTAAAATACCAAAATAAATAAGATCATATAGTATTTTTGTATCTTTATTGTAGGAGGTGGCAAACGTGCAACTCGCATGACCATCGCCATTGCCGTGTCCATTTGGCTTTTGGCTATACTCTGTGCTGTACCTGCGCTAATAGGCACCAATGTAAAGGTGAACGAGTTGCTCCGGAATCACGTATACTTACATGCCCACACTCATTAATAAATATGTAACCAACCAAAAAATATATAAGTAATTTACGTTTCATTCTTTCTTCCTTTTCGTGCAAGTAGCGCATCGAAATCAATAGCAACAAATCGTTCGCCGTGTGTTACCCCTATCCGCAGGAGTGGGGTGTGAGGTATGCCAAAGCAATGGTGATGATGCGCTTTCTGATCTACTATGCCATACCTTTGTTCATAATCGGCGCTTTTTACGTACTAATAGCGCGGCATTTGATGTACGCAGCAAGTGTGCCTGGCGAGATGCAGGGAGCGATGCGACAGGTGAGTCGGAAATTACAACGTCACTGCTTAACAAAACACTTTGCCCAAGTGGCACACCCATATTGCCCACTAGGAGTACTATTGATGAAGAAAACGTTTCAGCCATTCAGCCAGGTGGCTCTACCTACAGAGTATATATGTAGGTGGGAAAATCGGTCAACAGGCGTCATTAATCATGAGTTGAGGATGATATGCATTACGGGCACTCGCAGATTGAGTTGTAAAAAGATATGATGTTTCCTTTCTTCTATCCAATGCTAATCCGAAAGCGTGAGTAGTTAAATAACTCCCACTTTTTGTTTCAGTATTTTAGTAGTGTTATCAGCTTAGCACAGCGATGATTAATTAACTCGTGTAAATTAAAAGTCAATGCACAAGAAGACAGGGTCAGGTTTCCCTTACGAAGCGATTGGGCTAATTGACGTGGAAAGGGTGTGTTTTCTGCAAATAAAAGGGCAACGAAATACTCCAGTTTCTTCTTCTTCTTACTTCAGTTTACCCTTATCATTATTGGAGAAACGAAGTTTTGCGTTTGAACTGCGGTTTTTAAGTGTTTGGCGCTTTCAAGAGTAGGCGAAAGTGTCTAATTAGTGCGCTAAATCAAGGCAATTTTCTTTTTAAAGTCAGATGTTTTGTGTAGTATTTTATATTTGGCTGTGTGTGTACAATATATAGAATAAAAAAATGAATGAGTCTAATTTCGGGCGAAACCGAACTTCTAGTGTCCGGTGCACGTGGTCTCAAAATGTATGTATGTAGGTCAGTGCACGGACTTTACCACTTTATTTTTAGATCCACTCACTTCTTAGCTATATTTTAATTTCTACCATTTTACCAACAAAGGCTAAAAATCTACCAATATTTTCCAAGAATAAAAATGAAAAGTTAACTCTGACCATAACCCATAAAAAAGTGAAATAACATCTCTGTCAGCTGTTTATGTAAATATTTTTCGATACGTTTGTTTGGGTCGCTGCCCAACCAATGCGTTGCAAACTTCAAGCACTTCAAATTTCATTTTGATAAGAAAAAAAATTGTGTGGAGAATAATTGTTAAAACCCCTTATTAAATTAATCCAGAGCCCGAATCACTGCATCCGGGATCGAATAGTCGCAATTTCTTTTTGAGATTACGCCATTCGGTAGCGAGCTCCCTTTTTCACTTTAAATTGTATTTTAAAGAACAAGAGAGAACAGCTGCCGTTATATATCATCCGATTCGAATCGAGTTTCATTCGATCACGGATGCCGTGACTCGAACCCAGTTTTATGTATAGGTTTTGACATTAAGAATCACCGAGACGAAAATCCAGCTGCTCGGGAAACACCTCCTTACATGAATTCGCCTTGATTTATCCTATATGAGTAGAAACTATCTATTAATCTTCTTTTTAAAACTCTACTAACTTCTACCATTTTTAGGATGTAAAATCTGCCACTATTAATTTTTTCGAAGTGCGTGCATTGATATACATTGGTATCTTTTATTATTCATAAGTGGTTTGCTGAAAATCCGAGGCTTTTGTTACTAGCATAAACATTTTTTAATCAAAAATGAATACAAATATTTATTGGTATACATATTAACCTATGGACCATCAACCAGCTGGGGATTTTATAATCAAATATCTACTAAAAAACTTTTTGTTAGCTTTTTTATTATTTAGTAAAATAGCGATAAATCAAATGAATAACAAAGGAGCAACACAATGCATTTTCGTAAATCTTAATATTCATATAGTATTTATTACATTTTATATACATATACATATTTTATAGTTAATACCGTTTTACTTTTGATGCAGGTGCGCGCCCGACGAAAAGTGGCATGGACGGTGTTGGCATTTGTTGTTATATTCGGAATATGCTTTATGCCCTATCACTTCTTCATGCTCTGGTTCTACTATTGGTTAGTATTTTTAAGATATAAATAACAAAATGTATCAAAAAAAATATATTAAAAGTTTTAACGAGTACATATATATACATATATATTCCTCAAAATCGAAGGAAATACATATCTGGACTTGTGGGCACCAGGGAAGTTTCTTTTAGATCTTATTCCACTTTTAATCAAACTACAGGAAAATTATGCTTATTATTTTGATTCCAAACCATTGAACCAACAAAAGCATACCATTCATTTCAAATCTACTATGCAACACTTTTTGTATTGGATACAACATCCTTAATTCCAATGTATGGAAAAAATCACTATCCGAATGACAATTCTAGAGTCGCGTTGAAAAATCTAGGACATCTCGCTACTTACCACTTTAATCGCCGGAAAAAACAACTGCCAATCATCACATGCAAACTTTGCAAAACATCCATTTCCAAATAGGTGTAGGTCCTGTGAATAGGACGAACTCTGAAAAAATACGACTTTGCTTCGTTATCCTCATTTTTGCAGCTCCTGTACTGCGAATCGTTGCGTAATTTTGCTAGCATATTCAAGAACAAGGCGCAAAAATATGTGAAAAATGTTAAAAAAATTGTCCTTAATAATTCTTTTGCATGAATTATTCGTAATGTTAGAAACTTGAAATCTCAACTGTTCTCGACCAGTTCAGACAGCCATACTCTCTTCTTGATCATGGAGGGGAAACAAACAACGTTCGTTCGCCAGAGAAAACCACCATTTTCTAGTTGTCCTTTCATGCATGCAATTTGTACAAAATTCCAGTCATGATTCTTAACGTTGTGTAGTAAAATATATGCCCTTTTTTGACATTTTCTGAACAAAAGTGTCTAGAGGAATCCGTAGTGCCCTTGTGGAGTCATCAACAACTATCTCGATAATAAGATGCTGACCTCGTAAAGAACTAATGTTATTTCGGTCTAGCTTTTGTGTTCTGGCTCCATTTCTTGCTTTTTTCATGCGATGCTGTGAGACGGCTTCATCTGTCAAAAACATTTGCAAAGCAAGATAAAAAAGAAGCTACTCTGATGCCCACAAGCCCAGATATAAGTTTGGAAGTAGGAAAATATGTGTACCTATTCAAATGAATCGAGCTGTATTAAAAACAATCTTCTCCAGTAACAAGCTTAAGCATATTACATAGGTGGCAAAATTTAAAAAAAAAAAATTAAAAACACTCGGAAAAATCAATGCGTAAGGGTCTATTTACGTCAAATGTCCCAAGCATCCAATCCCGGGATCCTGGAATATTTCGGGATATTATTACCATTAATTGAAATATGCTAACAAACTAGTTTTGCAGTCCTGCTTTAGTGCGAGTACTATAAATAAAAATAAATTTGTATTTTTAAGCACAGAAATGTCTTTATTTTATATCAGTTTAAAAAGTTAATTACAAACTGAATAAACTAAAAACTGTGGAATTGAAATTCATTCATGTCTCCGATTCGCTTCAAATTTTTTTATGGGTTCTATACACATATTCGAGGAATTTTTTTTTTTTTCTTGGCGATTTGATCTGTCAAGGTTCGAATTTTTTCATGTACTTCAAATCGTTATATCTCGGGCTGTACTCACCGTAGAGACTTCATCTTAACGTCGTTTTAAAGATAAAGAAACAGGCTTTCTATGCCATTGTTATGATTGTCCTAAGGTTAACGTAGCTATTAACAGTTGAACTATTTTAAGTTGATTTGCATAATAAAGACCAAATAATTTGGGATTTAAAATTACACCATCGTAATCCTTGTTTAATTCTCCATGTTCCGAAAAAATGGGAGTTTTTCAATAACTATTTAAAAAATTTTTTTTATGACGAAGTGGTTTATTTGATGAGAGTTAAGAATGAAGTCTCTACGATGAACAGAACCCGAGATATAACAATTTGAAGAAGTACATGATTATTTAGTCAGAATCACGAAAAAATCAAAAATTTTACATGTCATATATCCGAAGAAAAAAGGAAAAATGTGAAGTCATTCGCAATTGTGGTTCCAAATTTGATGTCCGATATGAAAAAGAATGCCTCATATATATGTTATATATACTATGACATAGAATAATAGTAGTGTTAGAATTGTAATATATTATTTGATTATTTGTAGCCTTGCATTTTATAATTCTGAGTCTGAATGTCGTTTTATTTTAATTTGGTCGTAAATTAAATTATATCCCGGGGTCCCGAGATTTCGGGACTCAAAAAAGGGCGTAGGATCCCGAATCTCGGTACTAGATGCCTTAGTGCAAAACAAGCTACTTTTCGACTACCTGGGAAGCAGACAGAGAATGGGAAAAATAATTCAAAAGTTATGATTGCTATAGATTTTTGTATGAGCTATCCGACGGTGCTATGCGTTTTCCGAAATTTTCCAATTTCATGGTGAAAATTCGAAACGACAATTTATTTGCAATTTTTCTTAATAATAATAACAAACCAGTCACAGCACTCCGTCGCGTCACGTCGGCACCGTTCGCTTGCACGAATTAGAACATTATACTGTGATAGCAAGTTTTTACAAAAATTTCATTTAAACCCGACATATCTCAGACCTTTGTGTATCGTCGATTTAAAATTTTCACCCAATAAAATACAAACTACTCCAGAGGATTTAAGTTTAACAACACTTCTTAATACTGATTACAAACAAAACTAACGGTTTTCAAACTTTATTATAAGAATTCAGAGGGTGTTTTTTCTAATGTGAAAGATGTGTTATAAAGTTAATGTTTTTTTTTTTGTTTTAATACAGTATTCTAGATGAATATCTAAGAAAGTTTTTGAGAAAGTTTCAGATTCAAACATCAAGTAGCTCCAAAGTTATAACTTTATTAAAGTGACGCGCACGGTAAGCGGTTTAGCGCGGTCTAAAGCATTTTATAACTTGGAAAAATAAAAAAGACCCTTTTTTATTAATGATTTCTATGTAAAAACGAAATTAAAAATGACCTTAGTTGAGAAAAACTACAAAAAATTTTCGTTTCGAAATTTCACCATGGGATAATTTGGCAACCCACCAATTTTAGCATAGCACCATCTGTTAGCCCGTAAAAAAATCTATAGAAATCTTATTTTTAGATTTTTTCCACCACTTTCTGTCTGCTTTTCAGCTAGTCTAAAAGCAGCTTGTTTTGCACCGCACAGCGCACTTGGGACATTTGACGTGAATTGCCCCATATGGGGAAATTCAAGGCGGATTTATACAAGGGGTATTACTGGCGAATATATATTTTCGCCGCGGTCCTTCTGAATGTTAAAATGATGTGTTTGTTGTAATATGAATTCGCAAACACATAATTTCAACATTCAGAAGGACAGCGGCGAAAATCTAAAATCGCCAGTAACACTACCTTGTATAAATTCGCCTTGGGTAAGTCTTTTGAGATGGAGCTATTGCAATTTAAATTTTTGTATGTTTTTTTTTCTAAGTATAGTAGCACAATTTTATTCCCAAAATGTATCACTTATCAACCTACTTAAAGTACATTATAACCCGTGTAACTAAAATTTTTTAATTGCTACTCTAAACCATATCTTTAAAATTATTTCCTATTAGCCCGGCCAAGTTAGATTTTCAAGGTTACAATAATTCGCATAAAGCTGAAAATTGGCACGAATGTTACAACAACTGTAAATGAAATGTAAAAAGGCCTCATCAATCCCAGGTCTGTAAAAAAATTAATCAAGGTCAAAGGTCACCTAAATTGATTTTCACTATTTTTCAGCTAAACCGTAAGATTTATTATAAAATAGGTTGGACAAAAGTGTAGCTCATGTAACTATCTCTAAAAACCGTCATGACACTTTTGTTCCTAAGAATCACCATTTCGACTCGACCGGCATCCATATTTTAATAATTCACTTAACTTATATTATCAACCGCTATCACAAGAAATGTCACGATTTTTATATAAAACGCAAAATTCAGTTACAGTTGTGAGCAGTTTTTTTCTCGCATTTTGGTAATGGACATATTTGTTTATTACCTGTCTTTTTATTTTTAACCGACTTCCAAAAAAAGAGGAGGTTATCAGTTCGTCGGAATAATTTTTTTATTTTTTTTTTTTATGTATGTTACCGCATAACTTTGGACCACGTCAACCGATTTCGATAATTCTTTTTGCATCGGAAAGGTAGTGTCTCAGAGGTGGTCCCATACTAATCTGGTTGAGATCCGATCAGTGGATCATGAGATATATATATATATTTTTTTTTTATATGGGAGTTGAAGTCGGTTTTGTGTTTTGCTAAAAATTACTTGTTATTCCTCAGAACCTTCAGATGAACTTCTGAAAACCCCGAGCTTTAAGTCAGACCACTCAAGAAGTTATACCCTAATAAAAAGTAGACTTTATGCGAGTTGCACTAATAATTTCCAGATTTTTTCGATTTTAGGTAAATTTGTAATTTAAACCGATAGTTTTCTTATGAATAACTACATATTTACTGATATTTACGCATATATGTATCTAAGTAATATTAACGAAGGTATAGAAGTCGCACATTGCAGTGCAACAATATGCCAGTACGCAAAGTGTCCCCATCTCAAAATATTTCCCCATATACTAACGAAAGTTTTTCTCTCTAAAGTCACATTTTTTTTGGTTCACAAGAAAGAACAGGAATTGAAAATGCCTGTTTAATTATTATTTTTTATACCAAACTAATAAAATTTGAAAGACCTAATTAGAGGATGTGGTGGTGTACATATTCGTAGTTGAGTCATATTTTTTCCAAAAATAATCATTGGAAAATCCAAGGTATTCCATTATCAAGTGCCCCAAAACATTAATTTCGTCAGTTCTACAGAATTTTCGATTTTATTTCGTACCCATATTTTTATTCAAGATTGAAATGGGTTGTTTTATTAATCACATCTTTGAAGTTTCAAAGTACCTACTTCTAAAAAATCCTGGCGTCGGAGATAAAAATTAAAAACGCAGTTTTGCTGTATTTTGGCCCCAGTATCACGCGTATATTAACTTGCGTGTGTCTAAAATTTACTGCCGCATGGTGTTATTTGTTTATTTTATGTAAATATTTAATGTCACTTTATTTTTAGCTAACCAAATGTATTTATTCAGGGCTATCACAGAGTCCATCGTAGCTTAGATTTTTGTGAAATCTACGAAAGTGCTATCACAGAATCCGAATGGCTTCGAACCTAAATTCGAAATTCGTAGAGAGCCTTCATTGAATCCGTTCGTAATGAAGATTCGCACAGATACTCTACGATTAGTTTATGCTGGCGGAACAAAATTTAAAATTATGGAATCTTAAAAATATTCGAAAAAGCTGCATTATTGTTAATAATAAATATTTATTACACTCCAAATTTGTTATAGTTTGATATAAATCCATATATTTGTGTAAACGCATACGTAAAATACCAATGCCATACATACGTACATACATACGTACATTCTACATACACACATTCATCTGCTAGACACTATTTAATGAATGAATATTTTTAATGAAGCGAGGAAATAATAGTTTAACAAAAACTTATTAGAAAAAAACCTAATTACTTTAATATCATAAAAGTTAGTTTAAAAAATATTTTGCTCTTTAAAAGAATAAAATATAAACTAAAAAAAATATATATATTACAAAAACGAAACGAAAGTTAAATTAAAAATCTGCTGCCCGACGACTCGGACTTGAACTCGGACCTTTCAATTTGCAGTCTAATGCTTGCTCACTCGGCCATTGCGACTGCTGGGGCAGCGTGAGCAAAATGGCATACATAAATGTCTATTGCTTCCTTTGCACTACCAGATTTCGAATCAGCACTCGAAGCTGGCAACGATAAATATTTTCGAGTTCACTGGGATTCAATGATAGCAATTTTTCGTATTCGTAACAGGCATTCGAATTCATAGATTTTCTACGATGAATTCCGTGATAGCCCTTATTATATACATATGTACGCATATAATTCCCACTAACCAATTGTATCTGATTTCTCATTTTTCTGCGTCTATTTAAGGCCCACCGCACAGGATGACTACAACTCCTTCTGGCACGTTTTGCGCATCGTCGGCTTCTGCTTATCCTTTGCCAACAGCTGCGCTAATCCGGTGGCATTATATTTTGTTAGTGGCGCCTTCCGCAAGCATTTCAATAGGTATTTGTTTATTCACTACAATGCAGACGCATGACAAACTGTCACCTCCTGCCCGAACAGGGTAAGGAAGTTGCAAAGGATATGAATTTGATATTAAAATGAAAGGAAGGATAAATCCACGCTTTTTGATAGAACGAAAATATTTGCGAAATTCAAGAAAGCCAATTTTGTCTGAAATTAAATCCGCACGTACATTTACATATATCTACATGTTTACAAACATACAGACAAGCAAATATCTACTTAAGTACTTACATATTTAAAAAGTAGAAAGAGCGCTGGAAAAATAGCTGGAAAGTTTGTCATTCTTAATTTCCAAGGCAAATTCACAGCGACAGCACAAAAATAAAAAAAAAACATCTTTTTGACCGTGAGCATAGTTCGCTTTGAAATCAGCTGCTCTGGCAGCACCACCTTGTATGTAGGGATGTTGCGATACTACTGATACAATCCTGGTATCGATAGTTTTGTCTCGATATTGGGTAAATCGGTACTCGATACTAGGGAGACGATACTATTAATACCCATTTGGACAGTGGTGGACTTGCAGTTTTGTCCGTCCTAGGCTTTATAGTGCCAGCCGCCCCTTTCTCAGCTCCCATTATCTAGGTACTACTTATATATATGAATTTACTTTTCGCCCGACTTTGTCAAAATATATTGTCAATAAAATAGCACCAATCGCTGTATTGCTTACTGCTTCTGAAGTTCTGTTTTATACCAACAGACCATAGGATTGCTTTTGTATGCGCACCACGTTTTTAATTTTAAATTTAATAAATTGTTTATAATTAATTTGATAAAATCTTAAAAAACTAATTCTATGGGTCTAGCAAAAAAGTTTCTACTTTTTAGTTCATTAGTTTACTGGGTACGAAAGTGGAAAGTTGTCTTCTAAGTCTGTAGAATAAACCAGACCTTTTCCCCGACTTCTGACGTACCTAATTTCACCAGGTTAGTATTAAAATAAGATTTATTGTAAATTTCCTTAGACCTTACGCCCCCCCCC